CCAACTGTTTCTCTTGTAACTGTTGTTGTTCTTGCAACATTTTTATTTGTCCATTTAGATCTTCAATTGTCAATTTCAGCATATTCTGTTGATCTTGGCTGCTGTTTAAATCATCAATCAACTGTTTCTCTTTCAGCTTCAATTCTTCAGTACCATCTGATTGATCTGAGAATATTGGCGATGTACTTCGTTCTTGGAAATTATTCTTATATTGTACTAAATCGTAGTATTTCTTTTTATAATCTTCATTTTGTTGAAATAAGTTCTCTAAAGATGTCAACGATTCACTTCGTTCGTTTAACATTAAACGAGTTTCTTCTAAGAGACGGCATATTTGCTCATAATCTGATGATAATTGATCACAACGTTCACGTTCTTCGACTAATAAACGAGCCTGATGTTCTTGTTCGTCATTATTAATTTCAGCTAAATACATAGAAAATATTTGTGATACACAAACGCTGACAGTCGGCCTACTCCTGAGTCTTTGTCCGAATCCATCTCTGCTGCCCGTTATTTCGATTAGGAAGGGAAGAAGAATCCCTCCTTTTATCGGAAAAAAAGATACTCAGAAAAAATTTTAGTTACTCACTAAAATTTTTGAGGTACCAATATATTTACTCATCTGAGTAACATGCATACTAATCAGTAAAAACACAGTTGATCTCAAAACTATTTTTTTACTCAGTAAGATTTACCCCTTTCCCTCTCCTATGATCTGTGTCGAAAACGCTGTCTGCTGCATGTAAAACGTTTTTCAGAGAATGCGTTTAGTTGACGATGAAAGTAAATTAAAAGTTTCTATATTTAATTGTTTGTGAAACGGACCTTGATATTTAAACTTGACGCGGTGCGTTGTTATGACTCCCTAGAATCTGAATAATCACATACAGAGGAATACTATCCTGAACAAGGTCGAGTAGCAGTCTAAAAGACAGATTTTTTACGAGATGAATCACTGACTGAGCGGTTAATCTTCAGTTATCTTATGCCGAATACAATGCCTTTAGTGGGTTCTATGTATGGTAGCAGACGAGCCTTGCTTGTTCAGTCCGCCTGGAACAAAGCTAGCTAAACAGTTCACATTTGACAATCCACATCACTTATCTACCATTATAACACTTTGAGAGTAAAATCAAACTGTACGCTACAGATGCTTAAAACACTGTGAAGACTAGAAACCGTAAAGAAAAACATTTCCTTTTTATATTAATATATATATCCTTTCTATATTAAAATTAAAATGAGTTAAAAATGAAGTGAATTTCATGCAACATTTCAAATCGAATTTATGGATAAATTTGACAACCATTTGTACTAAATTTGACGTTAGTGCATTCCAGTTCGTCCGACAGACCTTTCAGATTATGAATGGTACTTGTTTGAATTAGGATAGTACAGGAGATTATCGTATAGTGACCGTCGCCTAAACTCATTTATTATTGATTGTTTTGTTAATGTTGACTAATTCTAATGTCCTTATAGGGGAAGACCCTTATCCATTGACAGACACCACTCGAAAAGCCCTAGTCAATATTGCGCCAAAATTCTACGAGATTCTCGTAATCAATCATATTTGAGACTCACTGAACAAAACCAAGAACAGTATAATTTTTGATTGAAAAAGTTTTGAAATCTTCAGGAAAAATAACCCACTGCCGACTTTCTTGTACAAAATAAACTTTTAGTTTCGAATAAAAGGAGTAATTTACTTTGTTGTTCTTCATCTTGCATTTGTTGTTGGTTCTTTGAAGATTTTTGTTGAATATCTTCTAATTCTTGTTGTAATGTCGTTATCGTTTTTTCGTATTCATCAATATATTGTAGTTGTATTTCATAATTGCGAATTTTTATTTGATCATGTTGCAATTCATCGTTCAACTGACTTAATTTTATGTTTAATTGTTCATGATCATTTTTAAGTGTATCGTAATTTATTTGTAATTGATTTAAATAAGACTGTTGTGTCTGATGTTGTTTCAATTGATCACTATACCATGTTAATTTTTCATTTGCTTGTTCAAGTTCTTGTGAAAGTAGTTCTTTATCAACATCATCCTATTCACGAATGATAGATTTATAGCAGTTGTGAGAAAAATACACTTTGACACTTACGACAGCTTTTTGAACTTCTAAGTTCTTCCGCAATTCAGCTAAAAGACGAAAAACAAATAGGTAAAACATATACGAAAGAGTATATATCTTTTTTTTATTAGTATCTCAGGTTTAAAAATCATGATTAATGTAGCTAACACATACGCTCATTCCAGTCTTCTAATTCTCGTATTCGATTTTTTAATTTTGTAATTGTTTCTTCGTATTCCTCACGATATGTAGTCATTTGTTCAGGAGAAACTTGTTCCACGGCTATTGCGTCTTCTTCTTGTCGATGCTAATCAAAACAAAGAAAATAAACAGTATAGTGGATACTTAATAAATACGAACTAAATACAAACCGAATCTTTGACAAATTGATTTGATTTTAATGTTTTTTTTAAATTTCCTATTTCATCACGTAAACAAACATTTTCATTTTTTAATTCTTTTATTATTTGTTGATATTTAATAGATTCTGATATTTCAGGTTTATCATCTGTGTCTGAAACAAATAAAACCGTATATAGAGACAAATTAATGAGAAAAAAATATATTTTACCTTCTTCAAGAAGATCGGTCCATGTGTTTTCTTTATTCTTATTAGCGATAACCGTCTGCTGTTTATCATCACGAAGATGCCGTAGTTCATCCTATACAGAAGAAAAAAACCTATTTTGTGAGATAATACTTTTCTACAAAGTATATTTCTTGAATAAGCAGCTCTTATCCCACCTACATCTTCTTCTACAAGTGTTTGACGAGTCGCAGTTAACAACGTCTTTGCTTTGTAGTCAACCGCTCGTTTTTGCATTATCATTTCGTCACAAAATTTTTTTAATGATATATACTAAAAAAACCAAACATATTGTATGATTTTCAAATAATTAAAAAGTATCGACTACATACTTGGTCTTGAAGCTCTTGTTTACTCATTTCAAGTTCTTGTATTTGATTTTTAGCTGCTTCTAACTCTGTTACTGGATCATTACCTTTATCACTCGATACTTCCGTTAGAATATCTTTTGTTATTGTACTTATTTGACCAGAGATATTTTGAAAACCACGTGATAGATTTCCACTTAACCAAGACATGTTGTCTGGTTGTTTGACAAAACTTAAATCTGAAGAAAAAAAAGGCATATTATGATTTTGCCTTAAACTTTGAAGCATTTACATTCTTTCTTCATCTACAAAATGCTAGATTTCAAAAATGATTTTTAACTATTGATGTTTTTTTGCAGGAAAATAATATATTCTTCGCGTTCATACATTAGAGCATGTTGAAGGAGATTTTTTTTATATGTAGCAATAATATCTATTACGAAATATCTGATATAACTTCATTTTATATTTCTATCTATTTTCACTTTTTTAGTATTTGTGTGATCAATAAATTCTGCAAGAGATTTTCTTAAAATCAATCATCGATCATTTATATGATCAAACTATAATTGCAGCGACTAGTGAAGATGAAATCTAAATGAAGTTTTTACTACGCACACTATCTGTCGACAAAATCACCGCGTTAACACAAGTTAGTACAATACAGTATGAAGAAATTTGTAATTTTTGTTCTAGAAAGGAAAAGTTTAGTAGCAGATCAGTTTACTTATGTGAGTGAGATAGAACCTAATTTTCAATAAAAGATACTTCGATTGGTTTTCTTGGTGTTATAGTTCAACTGGACTTTTACGAACTGGATACAGATCTCTATTTTCCAACCGGCAAACTCTCGGCGACTCCTGTGCTGTCTTCTTCTTGTAAGTGGCACATTTGGATTTAAAACAGAAGAATTCTGAACAAATTCGATACACTGTGGTAAGAAATTTCAAATATTTCTAGTTGCTGAAGTGAGTATAAGAATGAAATACTTTTAAGTAAGAAATATAGCACTGCGACAAAATGCATGTTAAATATAGCACTGCGACAAAATGCATGTTAAATATAGCACTGCGACAAAATGCATGTTAAATATAGCACTGCGACAAAATGCATGTTACTGCACCACCTCCAAATAATGAAATACTGTTGTTCGTTCAGTGGCGTCTATTCCAACCTAAAGGTTTATGGCATAAAGTCTCATTTGTTATTTTGTACTATCTATAAAACTCAACCTTTTTCCATTTTCTAGTTCATATAATAATTTGCTACAACTAGTCTTAAAAACAACAATGTGCTTGGGCATCAATCCTAAACATTTCAAGGATGTACCATCTCATTTTTTTATTTGATACAACGTGCACTCAAACGCACCATAGCGTAGACGTCACTGCGTTCGTGTGATTGCTTTCTTTTCTGTAGATGAATCAGTCGGTCTACAGTCGAATAGTCCACTGGTTGGAAGTGTTTCCAATCAAAAACTGTGGTGAGTCATATGCAACACATTTTGTTCAACAGAGAAAATAACGTAGCAACATAAACTTTCTTTAACTCTTATGGCAGTGAGTTGTCAAATTGTGTGTGTGAAAATGAAAACTGTTTAATTCACACATTGAGAAAGAAAAATAACAATATGGATTTAGATCTCTCTTTCGAAAACAGCGATGATACAGATAGTATTCAAGCTGTTCTGCCACTTACAACGCGTGACCGAGAATTTTTTAATAAATTAAACAAATTCATGGATGATGAACTATTGAAATTAAATCGAAAACATGAAAATGACGCCTCAAAAGAAAGATTTGCTATATTCAAGTTAGCATTTGAAAAGGTAACATTGCATGTGCAGTCGGGTTCATGATCCTCAATCATTTCCAAGTGGACAGAATATACTCAAACTCTTCATAATAGATTAATTTCATACGTAGATTCTGAATCGTTGACCTTTTTTGAATTTTTCAGAACTTTTAACCCTAGAGCACCATCAAGTACTAATTATTCAAAAGATGTTAGAAGGTTTATGGCATAAAGTCCCATTTGTTATTGTTAAAAGTTACTCTTTAATTCAGATATTGTCTGTCCTAATATGTCACCAGCGTCCCGGTTAATGAGATCTAGTCGAGTTGCAAGGTCGAAAAATTGCCAACGAAAAATCAACTTTTTCAAAATTACATATTTTTCGTAAATCACCCTGCTTTAAGAGACCCCCCCCGCTCCCGTTCTTTTTTCCCTCGAAAAAATGGTCCGATCGAGCTCAAAATTTTACCACAGATACTTTAGACCCTAGCTCAGGATCTAAATTTTTCTTAAGTGTTTTCGACTTCAACTACTACCAAAAATACTAAATCCTGTATAAAAAACCGATTTTCTATTTTAAAAACCTTCTCACGTCAAAAGTTGAAATCGAAAACGCTTAAGAAAAATTTACATCCTGAGATAGGGTCTAAAGTATCTGGGGTAAAAGTTTGAACTCGATCGGACCATTTTTACGAGAGATCGTAATGTGATCCGATAGAAAGGTCTGTCGACAAAAAGGTATAGTTAGAAAAACACATTCTACATAGGTCTCTGTTTTTTAGGGCGTTTGCGGTGATTATCTCCACGAAAACTCGTCGGAAAATTCTGAAAGACGTCTCATTTTGAGGAGCACATTTTGTTTCTATCGTGCTAAGTATAAGAAAGAATTTTGAATTTATAAGAATAGAGAAAAAGTTCACTAACCTAAAAAATTGAGATTTTCGAGGCTCTGAAGGAAAAATTTAAAAACTTCATAATTTTTGAAGGAAGGTCGTGGAGAGCTGGGAGTGATCACATTTTATAGCTCAGAATGTCTATATTAGACGATATTCAGCTCAAAATGAAACGTTTCTGCAAAAAAGAGGGGGGGGGGGAGCCTTAAGATTAATGCCGAAAAAAATTATTTTAATATACTCTGACAGAGTATGGGGAAAGGAGTATAGGTTACATCTTATTTTTCAGTTTGGAATTTATTTTGAAGAGGAAAACTATCCGTCAAAATAGACTGTTTTTCGTTCACACTCGCTTTTTAATCATGAACCCTGAATCCCTCCTGGATACCTAAATTTTTTGTTGAAAGATAATTTTCAACGCAACACGGTTCGGGAAATATGATTGTGTATGAAAACTCAGTTACCGATGCATCCTTAATGAAACAGCTCATACCTCACCGCCAGTTTTAAACCGAAATTGGGTTCAAGACCTACTAGGAAAACATGATGTCGACATTTACTTGAAACTTTTTGTAATAAATAGTCTTCTTATCTTTGCATTTCCAGCTTAAATCATTCTTTAGCTCTAGCATTGCTATCTAGCGATACAAAAACTACTCATGAAGGACGTTTCCTAAATGCTTTCTCAATTTATCCTTGAAATGCACTTGATTATGGAGAACGTTTGATGCTGGTTAGAATCTGACATCTCTATGTCCTCGTATGGCCTTTCAAAAATCTTAGGAGGGAAGCTGATAAATCATTTTTTCAACGAAAATCGTTTGGCCATATGTCATTGATAGCGCTGATTCCGGATATGACTATCGGGACGGTAGTTAGGGGGGGAGTAGTTATACCCAGTTCTCCCGCACAAAACGTTTTTTGAGCCAAAATCATTTCTGATCTGTCCATGTTATGGAGGAGATTGAGTTGTACACAGAAACACATTTTTGTGGCTTTAGCACATGTTTTGACAGGATTAGAACTAAAATAGTGTTCTCGCTAGATAGGTACGAATTGTTTACAATTAGTAAATGATGTAATTGTTTGAGCTAAATATTATGCTACTTCTCGCTCATTTTGTGATATTTCAGTTTTATTTAAAGTGAGATTAATATTAACCAACTCTGATAAACAATGGGCGATATTTACTGGGTTCATTTTTGTTACTCCTTACACTGTAAAAAATAAAGTGTGCCCGGAGCACACTGAATGTGCACATCATATTGGACTGTTTTTGCACGCTGAAAACGATTTGTTTAGTGTGCCTGTACACACAGTAATTGCACATATAACTTCCACAGACAGAACGAGAAAAAAGACCGAAAAGAAGAATAATTTTTCCGTTTTTTTTCCGTAGAGAAATGCAAGATAAAAATTCAGATCACACAGTGACAATTTGCACAGCACTTTGGACTCGAAATGCACATTAGCGGACACATTTTATTTTTTACAGTGTAGATCTTCGAATTAGAGAAAGGATTATCACCACTTTTGTCCTTTTTACTGTGTTTTTCCTCGGAGTAAAAAGTAGCGTCAACCACTTTGAGAACCTTACTAGGTGTATTTACTATCTTCAAGCAATTGTTGTAGTAAAATAATATTGAGGTTATCCAAAAAAAATTTAAAAAATGTGCTCGTTATATACAGTTGGCTCCGCTAAATAAAACGATGATTGCCTCGTATTTTCTGTTCCACAACCGAAAAGTTTTTTGAAATCTAAGTTATCGAACTCAATTTTTCACGCTGATCTGGCATTACGTTTAAGAAACAAAAAGCTTTCTCATCGTACACTGAGTTATTGGCAAAAATACCTATTTTTGTCTTATGCGTTAGTACTAGCGGATTTTTATGATCCATTGTTGTATGTCATTCACGATATTTACTGAGAATAAATATCGTGAATGACATACAACAATGGGCCCATGATGGAGTAAGAAGTAAACTGTACTTTTTATAACTTGGTGAGAATTTGTTCGTTCCAGGTCATTGAAAATAGTGTAATTAATTATCTATCAGAAATAACATCCATTAACAATCCATCTCACGTTTATTAAAACAAACATTTTTAGACAAGGCAATTGTTTGACCGTTTTTAGGTATTTAAACCAGGAACGTACTAATGTCTAAAACTTGCAGTTTTATTATCATCAAAAAATGGACATTTTATGGATATTTTGAGAGCCCGTTTTGAGACCATTATTGCATCATTATAGGCAACAACCTAGTCGTCGGACCTTTCTTAAAGGTAGTTTTTGTAATATTTGTAATATTTTTTGTTGTTTAAACATGGTATCATCACTAGTACCCATCCCAGTACTAAAGGCTACCTCCTCGAGACAAGTTTTAATGACTTGTAAGTAATCGAAGAGAAAAATTCTAAGTTTTTTCAAGAGAATCAGTAATATTTATATTAGTCATAATAGTGGAAAAAAAGGATGAATGATTTAATAACAAATGTTTAAAGACTGACACTTAACTACCAATATTAAATTGTAGGTTTTCCCGATATTATAACTGCTTACAGACAGTTAAGGACCAATGTAAATTGCAGTTTCGAGTACATATAATTCAACGTCGGTTTTTAACCATTCTTCATGATGAAATAAAGAGCAAGAAATGACGACTGTTAACGGCTGTTTTTTAACAGTCTTTAGTCCGTTAACTGTCAAATGTTTAGTCATACAGTTAACAGTCCATGCATAAGTGGCTAAATGTCAGTTTCTGTTGACGTAGATTAGTTCTAATACCTGATGCACTTATTACAACCTGCCACTAACAGACCTTGGTCAGATGAAAAGTTCGAGATGTGTTTTTCTAGACTAAATTTGAACAGAGATTCTGAAAGGTCCTAGAGAACGAACGAATAGGAGCTGTGTGAGCATCATAAAACTTAACCCTAATCAAGTAGTTTTCAGTGGAAAATCGAATTGACATTTGGGACTTCTCTGATTGGTGATGAAATTGGCGCAGCTAAAGCTCACGAGAAATTGGCTTTCTCTATTGTAGGCAATCAATAAAACAACATTATATCGTCGTTTATTTCGTTCGATCAAACATGAATATGAACGTTGTATTAATGCACTGGAACTTGGTGCTGCGGAAGTGTCGAATATGCGTAATGAATTACATCGCTTAGTATTAGAACCCAAAACATATCTTTTGCGACAAAAAAGATGTATGGAGCTAGAAGACAAGTAGGACGGTTATACTTAAGATTATGTATTACTGAAGAACCTTTTGCTATAGATTATCAATTATCGAAACGGACAATAAACGTCTCGAAGATGAAATAAATCAAATAAATGATGAACAAGTCACAGAAACATATAGAACGGTTGATACAACAGAGGATGTACAAAAGACTGGTCATAGAAGAGTACCGGGTAAATAATATTTCTACCTTAAAATATTTTTCGAACTAGATATATGTAAGACGTAACTTTCATTTAAAAAGGTTTAACATTTGAACAAGAAACAGATATGCAAGCATTAGAAGAATATTATCAATTTTTGAAAGAAAAACTACATCGATTACAACAAAATGCCACGACGAAGTATCAATCAAGACAGAAAAAAATCGATTTACAAGTTCGTCTTGAACAAAATTTACCGTTTTAATGTTGTTTTCTAGTAACACTAAGTTTATTAATTAATGTGAAGGATCTAGATCACAATTAGAAGCATTACGAGCCTATACTCAGATTTTCACCTTTACGAAAAAGTGCACAATTCGAAAGAAAAAATAGGCAAAAGGTTTTCTTTGAATATGCCGAAATATAGAGTGAACATTTTCCTAGAAAATGATAGATCACAGAGCTCAGAGTGTTCTTTTATTTACATTTTCTATTTGTTCTGTTAAGGGTTCACAGAGCAAGGGGGAAAAGGCGCACTCCGTGGAGTGCCGGAGTGGCCCGGAGTACCGCGGGCTTAAGAAATTTTATTGAATTGCACTGTCCCAGAAATCTCTGTTTCTATAAGCAGAACAAAGACATTCTGTCTGTGGGAAAAGACTTCACAGAACAGAACACAACTGTCCCGTTATCTAGGAAAGTACCGGATTGTTCTGTTCTGGGAACATAACTATTCTGTTTCGGGAATCGGATCGTTCCGTTTTGGGGGAAGAATATTGAGAGAAATATCACTATTTTATTTTAAAAGAAAACAACGCACTTCGCCACCCCGGACCGTTGTACGGAGTGCCGGAGTGCGGTTTACTCCGCGGAGTGGCTGGAGTGACGAAGTGCGCTTTCCCCCCCTTGACACCGAGTCTAGACTCGGTTCGAAGTTTGTTAGTAAATGAGTACAGAATTCTAAGCAAAAGTCATACATAGTTCGCTGACACCTTATTTTGATGAGAAACATCTATTCTACATTTCTAACAATTCAAAAAAACTTTCATCTAGTCAGAGATTCACGACAAAGTGTGAAAAAGATACAAAATAGGCTTTAAACATCCCTAATCTTAATTGCCACGATTGCTAGACCTACCAAATCATACACTAAAAAAATTTTATATTTATGTTGTCCCGCTGTTGTCAAAGCAGTATTTAAACGCAAAAAGGAGAATCTACTCTAAAATGGAAGAGAAGTTACCAAAGTAGTCTTCCTATTTTTATTTACCCTTTTTTATAGTAATTTCTAGAAATCTTCTACTGTCATTGTAGGATTTGTTTACTCGTAAACAAAAAGAACTAGATACTATACGTGAAGAACGTTTTATTCTTCGAAACCGATTAAGACTATATCATATAGCACTGAAAACAATTGAATCGTATATGGAAAATAATCAAAATGGAATACTCGAAGATGCGATCATGAAGGCACTTTTTGAATCATCTAGTAGTTTTAAAAGTATTTAATAGTTATAATTTTCAGATGTAGATTTATACCAAACATTCATTTATTTTTAGCCGAGAATGATGATGATGAGGGTGGAGAATATGAAAGTGGTGCATACGATAAGGAAGCTGGAATTCTATTAGATTATATCGAAAATTTTACGGAACTTATTGAAAATGGAAGTTATAAAGAGGCATCTTACATAGCTGCATGCAGTCCAAAAGGCGTATTAAGAAATATGGAAACGTTACTTAGATTTAAAAGTAAGATATATTGAATTAACAATAGATTAGGCAAAAAAACAATATTCAAATTGTTTAGATATTGTAAAACCAGACGATGAGGACATAACACCTTGGCTATTCCATTGTAAAGTGCTGGCTGATACGGCACTAGAAGCATTATTCAAACCCGATATTGTTATATCATTAGAATGTGCTAAAGCTGCTCTAGACGAAAAGCATGTAGATATGTTATATCGATGGTGCGCTGAAAACAGGTAATGCAAAAAGGAATGTGAAAAAAGATAAAAAGCATTTTTTCTATCTTGTTGCTCTTGTTTTAGATTGACTTATTCATATGAATTAGGAAAATTAATTGAACAAATGGCCGCTCCACCTACATCAATTGAATTAGCCGAATTTGTATACAGAAAAGTTAATGCACATTTCGAAGTGGCTTGTTGTCTATTACAAACAGGTGAACATTTAAAAGAAATGTTTATTTGATTATTTGTTTAAAGCCGTTCTGTATCATTTAAGGTTCATCAAAACGTTGTATTGATTATCTTGAAGATGTTGGTGAATCGTCGAATGAGCAAATATTAAAATTATTTAACTTGTATCCATCTGTTAAATTTGCTGTCGATATGATGAACATGAAATCGAATATGTTCAATGCTGAAGAACTTGTTTTACTATTCATTCAGACAGATAAACACTGGAATGCTATTAAATTTTTACAAGCACTTATTGAACAACAGAAGCACATAATTCAAACTGAAACGAATAAGGAAAATCATACGAAAAACGAAGAATATTTGGTGAAATTAAAAAAATCATTTGAAATGCTAAAAAAGTGGTCATATTTGGCCGATGATAATGAATCAAAATCGAATGAAATTGGAGAAGATAAGAAAGAGATGGAAAGTCAAACACAAGTAATGAAAAAAATTTAAAAAAATAAAAATTACACTTCACATGACGTATTTCTGTTTTTAGACTCAAATTCCTCTCAAACATAGTCTATGTAAGTATCTTCTTTTATCAGTTGCACGATTTAGAGCCAACAATCATCGTTTAACACGTTCGAAGCTTTTTAAAAAAAAGTATTTGAGCATGTTCTAACATAAATTAAGCTGTCACAAAAAATTCGTAGATAGAAATCTCACTGTCGTGTTTCACAAAAAAAGATGCATGGTGGTCAAACGCGCAAATTTATTCTGATAAAAGAAATAAAATGAATTTTAATACATCAGCAGCCATTCGAGAACTAGCAAATAAGAGGATACCTTTTTTCACATGTGCATACCTTTCTGCTCTCTTTCTTTTCTACCGACGCGCTGAGAAGAAAAAATGTCCGCACATGAGATATCTTATTGTGGAAAAAAAGATATCTCCTTATTTGCTAGATGCCTATTTATTTACTAATATTTTTATTTTAACTTGACGTTTCGGCTCTTCATTGAATCCTTTTCAAACGTAAAACATTAACTATTTACAATTAAAATTAAATTTGGAAAATTAGATTAAAATTTATTTTAATTCTTTTATCAGAATAAATTTGCGCGTTTGATCACCATGCATCTCCTTTTTGTGAAACTGTAAACATAGAACAATGAGATTTTCTACCTACGAATTTTTTGTGACAGCTTAGTTTATGTTAGAACATGCTCAAATACTTTATTTAAAAAACTTCGAACGTGTTAAATGGTGATTTATCGTCCCCCCCCCTCTCCCCTGAAAGTGGGATATATTTTTAGTCTTAAAAATCCTCAGCCTATACTTTTTTACTTGGGGCCTTATCATTAAGGTGGAAGCTATGCAGAAAATCAATGGAAATTATGAAAAGTTTTTCCTCTTGAATTCTTTTGTAGGGCAATAAACTTCGTGATTTGCGCTATCTTTCTTTGTAAATAGATTTTTTTCAATAGTATCGATACAGTAAGAAAAATCACTGTATCAAATAACCTGAAAACAGAAGCAATTCAGCTTATTTTCCCTTATCTGTCACAAGTGAGAAGGGTTAAGAATCACAGAGGTTTACGATGCGGTAAAGTAGTGTGGTTTGTGGCATGGAGAGATCAGCCATGGCAAATTCATGATACCAGACCTTTCGTTTTCAATGCAGAGCATCAATCTCTAAAAAATCCTAGTTCGAGCTACATTCTGTAATTAGAACTTTGTCTTAGATAGCTTATTTTTAGCACAGTCGTCATCATTTGATGATGCTTGCTTCGAAGATGATGACGATAATGAATACGAATTTCTGAATGATGAAGAATACGATTCAATTCAGACGACACTAAATGAAAAAGAATTTGCACATCATTTGACACGGCGAATAACAAAATCAGCATTAGCCCATTTCAAGAAACGTGTTCTAATAACCAATGCCACATTACTCGAAGCTATTGAAGAACATGATGAAGACGCAACTACATTATCGACACCAAGGGGATCGTGTAAGCTACAACGTCAAACTGATCCAAATGGCGTTAACGGAATGAAAACACAACGCACCGAAGAAGAAGCATACTTTTCAGAAAACGAGTACGACGAACACAATAGTAACAATTCACTACAAACAATTCATAATGATTTTTTTAATGATTTTCCAGGTTTATACTTGACAGATGATGTACTTCATACAGATTCAAATTAAAAATATCTTTTTATTTTCGATTGAGCTTTAATCATCAGTAGCTGAGTAAAAATAATTCCCACAGAAAGAGAACCTATATTGAACAAAACAATATTTTAATAGTGTAATATTAAACACAAAAATACTACTTATAAATCATAGAAACGGCTCTTTTTTCACACACTATCATTGCTTTCCTTATTTTCTGTCGCGGTGCAACTAGTTTTTCTATCGGTTAACTCGAATATAGTCAAGTTCTCTGACTCGTTTCCTATTTATCAAATATGAGATAGATTAACGAGCTGCAATTTTAGTTTGATGCTAAATTCCTCCCATATTAGTTGCGGAAGACGAGTATATTTTCAAAAAAATTTACCGTTTTTCTTTAATGAGGTGATTCTTGGTCACGTTATACTTAACAGCGTTGACACATTCTTCTTATACTCCATTTGTTATTGAAATTAGCTGATTTGTAGATGTGCTCAGAAAATAATTGTTATCAATCTTGGATACTTCCGCACAGGTCCGCCCAGTATTACACTAGCTAAAAGCCGGGAAGGTTTGACTATTTGCAATCGATAGTCCTACTAATGGTGTGTAAAGACCCCTATCGCCCCA